TTATATCTGTTGCCGTTGAGTCGATTCTGACTCATACCAACCATATAGGACAGAGTAGAACTGTCCCATTGGGTTTCCAAGGAGCGCCTGGTGGATTTGGGCTGCCGATCTTTTGATTAACAGCAGAGCTCTCAACCACTGTGCCACCAGGGCTCCAGATATATCAATAAAAAACTACAACGGTCTCACTGAAGAGAGTATGTTCTTCAAAATCGCCCTTGAGAGGGAAGGAAACTATGGCACACAGCCTGCAGACATAGCTCTAATCTGTACAAACTGAGCACCCTCACAATCTAGCAAGCATTTTTTTTTTTTTCATTTCTAAGAGGAAAATTGTTTTTAATGCACTTCTAAGGAAAAGAAACAGAAGAATTAAAGTTGGTGAAGTGTTTTTTTTTTAATATCAAATTATGAGAATAATGATTATTCTGTCACTTTGGATGTCTCTGAAATTTATTTGAGAAGGCAGAGAGAAGGGAAGTGAGAGAGAGGAGGCCGAAAATGCTCTAATAGATTTTCAGTTTTAAAAATAGGTAAAATCCAACTGAGATGGTGGGAAGAGCTATATAAGGAATATGACAACTTAGACTGCGTTGCCATTGCCTTTTTAAGACTTTTTATTCATAGACTATAGCAGAAGGAACATACTTTGAATGTACAGTAAAACCCGAGAAAGCCAGAACCTCTGTAACGTAGAAACTTGTCAGAGAAGGAAAATGCAAGTATTTTCCACTAAAATGAGCAATAGAAAAGTGGGAAGACTGCACCCTGTCAAAGGCGGAAAACTTGTGAGTCCCGGAAAAATAAGGCAGTCCTGTTGATTTTCGGCTCTCACAGGTTTCACTGTATATTGATAAAGATAGGAAAACCATCTTTGAAATCATAAATGTCATATGTCTAGGATAAAGCAAACCTGTTATGTATATTGTATGAATAATTTGCTCTTTGATTAAATGACAGTATAACTGCATGTTAATAATATGTGCCTTTGCCGGGGTCTAAGTCAAATGATGCTAAATCTCTCCTTAGAAAGCAAAAACAAATCAGTCTTCTCGACTCCTGGCAAGCATTTGTTTTCTAACGTCCAGAGGGGGTAGGTATAAAACACACTTCCTTTTTTATCACATGTTTTGGCATCATGTTCACTCAACCTGAACTGCCCTGCAGATTGAAACCCATTAAAATGACATGGTTTGAATAGTCTTTAAGGGCTTCCTCCTCTTCGACCTACAAGGAAACTCATTTGTGGGCAAATTTAGTTATAACTCTTCTTAGAAACAATGCTGAAATCACAGCAGGGGCAAGATAAAGTAGCTGAAATCAGTTAAGAATTAATACGGAAATTGTTAGCAATTTCTTCCGGGTATCAGAAAGCAGGCTATTGTCCTAGACCTGACACTTCTTTTGCATGCTGTACTTATATCATGCAGTCAAATTAGACCTTGTTAAAAGCAGACAATTCTGTAGGGATAGAAATAAATAAATATAATCCCACTCATCAGAAACAATTGTTTTCAGTATGTTGTCATATTTCCCCTCCATTTTCATTTCTCTGCATTTTACATTGTTGAAGTCAAATTGTCTTAATAATTACATATTCTATGTAAGAACTCAGCTGCATCCACCAGCAGCTCCTTGGAAACCCTATGCGGCAGTTCTACTCTGTCCTATAGGGTTGCTGTGAGTTGGAATCAACTCAATGGCAATGGATATGTATTTTTATTTATATTTTATTTACAATTTCTCCATAATCACTAATAAGTCCTTGTACCCACTCGTTGTATAAGGGATTTATTTTCCATTGCAAGGGTGTATTCTAATTTACTTAAATCTTCTAATGTTGAATATAGGAAGTATTTCCATATTCCAGAATTATAAATAATATTTCAGTGAATATTTTCAATTATTTCTTAAGATATAAAGTGGAGGATATGAAAAGTTTTAAGGCTTACAGCAGATATCTCCAAACTGAGTTTGAGAATGTTTTCAAGTTTGATTCCCACCACGAGCAAATAAAAAATGTTCATTTAGCATATGTATCTTGAGTTTGAAGATTATTATTTTTAAAATTCTGTGGTAATTCGATAGGTTAAAATATATCTCTGTTTTAATCCTGTATCATGTCTTTGTAGCATGAATAAGTACAGACAAACAAGAATAAATCAGAGAGGGAAAATGACAAGTATTCTCCCATTATCAGGCTGTAATAAATCCCAGGAAACTCAGAAGTCAAGAAATGCAGCTTATTACAAACATAAACCTACCTAATTTTACTCTCAAAATTGGTTCAGTAAAATGACCTGAATTCTAATCATAAAACAAATAATATCTCATAGTTCCCTGTTTTCTTTTTTCAGGAAACAAGTTTCATTAAAAACATACAAAACTCAGATTCCCTTAGTGATCTTGTCCATCATTTGGATCATTTGGTTAAAATGCTGACAAATTAGAAAGACTTTCCTTTATCTTCTCTCCCTTTTCAATTTATTATTATTACTAAGTTTTTCTTTCCCAGAGTACTTCAAGGCTAATATTCAGCCTCAAGGTATTATTTGCTTATGTCCTAAATGTTGTCTCAATAGAGAACTTTAAGCCCTTAGCTAAGCATGAATGCAAGCCAATTTAGGTATCTAATCCTAATATCGCCAGCAAGATTCCTCAGTAGTTGCCAAAAATCAATTTCTGTTTGGCGGACAATGATTGTGGTTGCATTTTTCAAAGCCTGAGGTGTTTCAAATGACTAAGAAGATAGGGATCAATATCTCATACTTTAGCTTGAATATTAGAGGCTTGTCATCAGAATTGAGGATATCAGTACTCCTCCCAAACCTGGCCATGCCACTGAGTCTGAGGAATTTCTCTGTGTTTTCACATTGCACTCTTAATGTTCTCTCATATTCATTACCTAGAGATTTTTTACTTGGCATCCTGTTTGCTCTGAACCTCTTTAATCCCTCTTTAGTAGTTGATGAAACATGCTGAGCTCCAAATCAGAGTAAATGTTTGTATCTATACTGTGAGTTAACACTTTGCATACAGTAGGAACTGAGTGTTGAAATTTACTTTGAGAAATTATGGAGGGAAACAATGCGTTCTCCATATAATACAAGACAATAGAGGGGAACTGATGTTTATTCAATTTTTGCTTGCCTGGAGGAAGGACTGTGAAGTCTTTGAACTCAGCAGTTCCTTATTTGCTTCTCCCTTGGTACTGAAGACAGAGCTAAGAATTGGATATACCTGAGAGATTATTCCTGTTAACCTCTATATAGAGAAGTACACTATATTTGTATACTTCAGGATGTTACACACTTCCACTTCCTGCATTCTACAAAAAACAACAAGATGTCTATCCACCCATATAAAATAAGAAGGGAACTTGATCTTGGGAATGATGTTATAAGGTAAAATCTGAAAACAATTGTTTTTCCATCTCTCTAGGTATGTTCACCCTGAAATGATATGAAGCATCCAGGGAATCAGGAAGACTATCACATTAGGCAAAAAAAAAAAAAAAAAAAATGAGAAGGGAATAAATGTCCAGAAAAACTAAACTTTGAAAGAAAAACTCATTTCCTTTATAGAAAGGGTTACATTTATTGTTCTAAGGTATTGCAAAAAACAGACTCATCTTAATACACATTAAGATAAAGAGAAAATATGAAAGTACCTGAAGGGCATCCTGATATTCAGCCTCTCCGCATACTTGCACAGCGTGTCCCATGGAATGTGAATTTTAATAAACATGATATCAGTGTTTGCAACAGCTGGCTGCAAAGAACAGCAACACAGGTACTATTATTTAGAATCAGAGCTGATGATAAGCTATGCCACGATTTGATTTGGGGGGATGTGCATTGTGTCCTGCCTACACATGACTCATTATCATTGATTTAAAGGGAATTTGTATGAATGAAGAATGTTTAATACAGACAAACCCTAATAAAAATATAGGAATGCCACTGTATACAACAAATCATCACCTATGTGAATCAGTTCATTTTCTTACAATTGATCATTATCAATATTCAGGATTCCCAATCAGAACAATCAAGATCCAATTAGAAATGAAGTTATTTTTAATAGGTGCTTTATCATGACAATCTCATTTCTGTTCAAAAAGGGTGGAGAAATCCTTATAGTTGCCACCATTCATTAATCAATTCATTTGTTCTTCTAACACATTTTATTGAGTAACTACTACGTGATAGGTCTTGTGATAATCCTGGAAAAACAACAGAGTATAAATCATAAAACTCAGTGCCCTAATAACCAAAATACCAAACCTGTTGCCATCAGGTTGATTTTGACTCATGGCAACCCCATGATTTACAGAGTAGAACTACTCCATAGGATTTTCTTGGCTGTAATCTTAACAGAAGCAGGTTGCCAGGCCCTTCTATGATACCACTAGATGGCTTTGAAATGCCGGTCTTAGGCTGGTTTAAGTAGTTGAGTGCAAACAATCTGTATCACCTAGAGATCCAGTGTCCTAGTAGGGCTGTCAAATTTGCACACTTACTCTAATCTTATAATTTATTTTTACCTATATCAAATCATGAGAATTTTAGTGTCTCTGATCTAGACTAGAGATATTTAAGCGAAGTTGAGTGTGTGTCAGAATTATCTGAGAAGGTTTTTATAAAATACAGGTATCCTGGTCTAATTTTCAGAAATCCCAGCATCAGATTTCATCGTTCTGAATATTTTGCTCATACCACTCTACAGAGAATCAGATGTCTTTCTGAACCAGATAATTATCATGATTCTTAGATTTATTCCCTTAATCTAAATTATCTAACTAAATAACTGACTACTTTGGCATTATGTTATCATTCATGTTCATATTCTACCTTAAAAAAACAAACAAAAAACAAATATCTAGACAGTTACTTCCTGAAATTCTCAAATGTCGGAGGATCACATAGCAAGAAGCAAGTTTGACTATGGTCATTCTAGTAGCGAATTCCACAGAACTTTATGCTTTATGTAATTATAGGAGCTGAACATCTGTAAAGGAAAAATTGCTCCTTGCTCCCACTTAGACATAACTCTCCAGTAGCCACAGCTGGGCTTCATTTGGTTAATGTTGTTCATTTAAATTTCAGACACATGGAACTTCTCAAGTAACACGCCAGTCTGTCTTAAAAATCCAATAGTGTGGAGGAAATTTATCAGTTTAATTTAAAAACATATGCTTTTTTAAATTAAACAGATTTTATATATTGTTGTTGCTGTTAGGTGCCGTTGAGTTGGTTCCGACTCATAGCGACCCTGCATACAACAGAACAAAACACTACTCCATCCTGTGCCATCTTCACAATTGCTGTATGCGTGAGCCAATTGTTGCAGCCACCGTGCCAATCCATCTTGTTGAGGGTCTTCCTCTTTTTCGCCGACCTTCTACTTTACCAAGTATGATGTCCTTCTCCAGGGACTGGTCCCTCCTGATAACTGACTCTCCATCCTTGCTTCTAAGGAGCATTCTGGTTGTACTTCTTCCAAGACGGATTTGTTTGTTCTTTTGGCAGTCGGTGATATATTCAGTATTCTTTGCCAACATCACAATTCAAAGGCATCAATTGTTCTTCAGTCTTCTTTATTAGATATATATACTCACATAGCCCCGTATTCTAGATATGACTAGTTTCACGGGCTTGCCAAAACAATATTTCAAATTTCAGTGACCAACATATCTAAAAAGCATTATTAGAGAACAATGTGACAAGCATTGCACTAATATTCAAACACAGAAGGCAGTGTGACATTCGTTGCCATTGGCTAGCACTTACACATAACCAGCACTTGCCAAAGTTCGCTCCACAGAGTATTATGAAAAAAGAAGGGAGAGGGTCCATGATCAAATAAATACATTTTGGGTTTCTCGCTAGAGGACTTCAGAGACACTATCAGATGTATGCAGTTGCTAAAGATATCTAAGAAGGCAGTAAACTGTGCTGAATTTCCAAACTTTTTGACCATGATCTTTTTTTTTATTATAGCTTATTAAAGTACTAGCATTTTGAAAATTGCTTTGGGGAAAATACCAAAACCTGTTTTCATATCAATACAATTTCCCAGGGACTTTTATGACTTGGAATATGTTTTTCAAACTAAAGGAATCAAATTACAAACAATAAAATTGACAATGCCAGAACAGGATATAGTAGGTTTCAAATATCTTCTGGCTTTTGAAGTCAAACCAAGAGTTACTTACCTTAGCTATGCTTGGGAAAAGAATGCATATAACTTTTAATGATCATTAATTCATTCAAACATTTATTTAAAAATATATCACTAAGCTGAAAAACTGTCACTGATAAAATAAAAGGAAAATATTAGTATGTTGGTATCTCCAAGCTCTTTTTAGTGAATGTCCCAGACTTGGTTGAAAGGCTTCTTCACAGGTGGTAGAGAAAAGAAATGCTTTTTATAACATAAAAGAGGAAGGGGGGAAGCAGAAACACTCATCTATTGAAAGGACTCCCTTATCTGGGGCAAGTAAAGAAGCATTAGAGTTTTCATTATAGTTGTTCTTGTCTCATCCACAGGAAAGTCCTTAAATTCAAAATGACAACAAAGATTCTTGTTTTGAAACTATGATGTTAGCTACTTGTGTTCCAATTTGTCTTTAACTTATTAAGTACAATTTAAACCTCTTCAATCGGGTCTGGCTACTTAGAAAAATTCTAGACTTGGATAAAATCAATATTCATCAGATTGAGAAGTCCTAGGTAGGATTAAGACTGAACAGTCCAGATGTTGAAAAATGCACTAATGTTTGATCATCATATTCTCTCTAATGGTTCCACAGGGGTTTGAAAGTGGGAATCTCTCTCCTGGAATAAGCAGATCCTGTTGCAGGGGGGTGGGGCTGGATTTCTCAGCAGCTAGGCCTTATTCTGGTGTGACTGGGGATCTCATTCTCCCTCAGAGATTCATGGTTCCTGAAGCCCAGGTATACTGGCTGCCAGTGCACAGTACAGAGTACAGTCCAGAGCATGAAGAAAGAGTGAATAACATGTGTATGCATGTTGACAGAGACCTGGGAAGACTTCTCATCCAGAGTAACACAAGTCAGGAGAACGTGAGTTTCATACTCACAAGTTGTTCCATGTTTGCTTTGTCTTACACTATGTATAACCAGAAGCTGATCATTCACCACCTCCTCCACAGCTACCACCCTGTTCTAAGCCATCATCATCTTTGGCCTAGATTCCTGAAGTGCTTTCTATCTGAGCCTTTGCTCACATCCTTGCCCACAACAGTCTATTCTTACCACAACCACAGGAATGATTCTTTAAAATATAACTCAGACCATCACATTTCTCTCTATAGAACCCCATTTCATTCAGAGTGAAAGCCATTTTTTCCAATGACCTATGTGGCCTTTTAAAGGAGCCCTGGTGGTGCAGTGGTTAAAGCATTTGACTGCTAACCGAAAGGTCAGCTGTTCGAACCCACCAGCCATTCTGTGGCAGAAAGATGTGGCAGTCTGCTTCCGTAAAGATTTACAGCCTTGGAAACCCTATGGGGCAGTTCTACTCTGTCCTGTAAGGTTACTGTAAGTCGGAATCAACTCGATGGCAGTGGGTTTGGTTTGGGTTTTTTGGATGCAGCCTTTTACAGTATCATCTACAATTATCTTGCTAACCTTCTTTCTTACTACTCTCCCTCTTGCTCACTTTACTTTCACTTCCACTATTTGGTCATTTGCTTGGCTTTTCTCAAACCTACCAATCACCCTTTGACTTAGTACTTCTGCTGTAACTATTCCTGCTTAATGGATCCTCTTCTCCCAGATAGCTGCTTGGTTAACCCTTTCACCTCTTTTAAAGTTTTGCACAAATCTCACTTTCTCATTGTCAGCCTCATATTTTTATCTGCTCTATTATTTTTACTGTAGTGTATATTATCTTCTAATGAATGAGGTCATTTGATTATGTAAGTGCCAAGGGAGCAAGAATCTGTTTTGTTTATTTATGTATCCCAAGCACCTAGAGCTAAGCCAGGCACACAGTAGGTATTCAGTAAGCATATGTAGAATGGCTAAATGAAGGAATGAATGGATGGATGAGATAAGTTATTGTGAATACATATTCTATGTAACTGGTATCTAAGCAAGGGATGACAGAGATAAGGAATCAAATAAACCAAAACCATTCTGGAAGAGGGCATTATGTTAGGATTTAAATTAATATCATTAACAGCTTTCCTCAAAACAACAACAACAACAACAGCAAAAAAAAAAAAAAACCCCATGGCCATGGAGTCAATTCCAACTCATATCGACCATATAGGACAGAGTGGAACTACCCCATAGGGTTTCCAAGGAGTAGCTGGTGGATTTGAACTACCAACCTTTTGGTTAGCAGCTGAGCTCTTAACCACTGCACCAACAGTTTGCCTACCACTGATTAATTCATTCCAGTCAACCTTTAGGGTGTGAAAAAAACTAATGACTTAAATAAAGGGGGTGCTTTAGAAGGAAAATTTCTGCATTGCAATGGTTCTACAATCAACAAGTGAAATGTCAAGCAAAGTGCATGCACAGCTAGAATATTTCTCAACTTAAATGTCTTTATTTTCTCATTTTGAATGTCTTTTGTTATATCACACTCAATCTGAAAGTTCAGACGGCTATGCATATTAACCTATCTCTCTTTATATATAAAGAAAGAGAGAGACTGAGCGACAAAAAAGAGAGAGAGAAATAATTTTCAAGAAGCAAGAACTGTCTCCTTTTATAAAGCCCCCCACTTATTTTCTCTTTTGTTATACTTCTACTTAAAAAAAAAAAAGGTTTAATTTTCTTGCAGCTATTGGACACGGGATTGGCGAAGAGAGATGGTGTTGGCGGGGAGAAAGATTATTCTCCCTCAGAATTGAAAGCTCCCAATCTGGCACTATTCTGTTCAGCTCTGATGAAAGCAGGCTTCTTAGAGGGAACAAAACACCCACCACCTTAACAAGTCACGTTATTACTTAATTATTCCACCCAAAATTCCTAAGAGGTAGAACATTCAGAAGAGGAAGCTTAAAAACTGTGTTTCAATAAAGTCACTCTGCAAGTTAGTGGAACAGAGTGAAAGAAAAAAAAAAAAAAGGATATGATAGCTCATGATTTTTAAGTCTAAAAGAAAGACAAATTGCTGGTATGATCTGGAAATCTACTTGGATTACAAAGCACCTACCTTAGAGGTTACAAATCGTGTAACTTCATTCATATGGCCTTCAGATACACATCATTATTTGCTGATGATGTTGGTCAGCTAGAACCATCCACATCAGCATGCAATTCAATGAGTATTTGAAACCTACTTTGTGCTATGCTGGAGCCCTGGTGGTGCAGTGGTTAAGAGCTATGTCTGCTAACCAAAAGGTCAGCAGTTCGAATCCACCAACCACTCCTCAGAAATCCTATGGGGCAGCTCTGCTCTGTCCTATAGGGTCGCTACGAGCCAGAATCAACTTGACGGCAACAAGTTTGGTTTTTTGTTTGTCGTGCCAGGCTAACTGCTTAGGTTTTGGTCCCAACAGCTTAATAAAGCACCACATAACTGCACGTTTTTTTGGAATCAGGCCACCACCACGAACTAGCCATTGTGTTGAACACAAGTTGCCAGTCTCCGCTTCCTCTTTCCCCTCCACTGAGGTAAATGAATTATGATTCTAATGTGTAACCAGCACTGAAAACCACATCTGTCCCTCTTATTCACCTCCTTTAGCTAGTATTCATTTTTCAAATCTCAATTCACATTTTATTTCTTTAATTTCACTTTTTCCTATCCTTCTGGTCTCTCCTCACCTTCTTGACTAGATCATTATCCTTGTTATATGCCATTCTAGCACCATTTTATTTTCTTTAAGGTCACTTATCACAGGTGAAATTATAAAGGGTATCCTGATAAGGAAAAATTTTAAACATTATATCCATAAGTGGAGACTATGGAGACTGAAAGCCAGCTTGGATAATATCATCTTTATTCTGAAAAGTCACTGAAGTACCTTTTTTAGGTATGCAAGTATTAGCCAAGTGCAAAGAGTATAAAAATAAAATTATTTATTTTTTTAATTTGTCGCACTTTCTCTTGCTTGGGTAAGAAGAGCTCCTAAGAAGGCATTGGATCAAATATCATAAAGCTTCTAGAGTCTTCTGGGAGGGAAGCTATAAAAATCCTCCAGCTCAGCTTCAAAACTAATCACATTTATTCAGGAGAACTGTGGTAGTCCTAGCCCTTTCCACCCTCAGGAAAATAATTCATTCACCTCAATGGAGGGGAAAGAGGAAGGTGAGACTGGTAACTAGTGTTCAACACAATGGCTAATTTGTGGGGGCAGCCTGATTCCAATAAAATGTGCAGTTATGCGGTGCTTTATTAAACTGTTGGAAACAAAACCTAAGACATGAGTACGAACTAAAAGAACCCAGCGTAAAGAACCTCTCTTTCCAGAAATAGCAACAGACAAACGGACACTGGCCTGCTGAGGGCCAATCTTAAAAACAAAACAACAAAAAGTCTTCTCGTGGGAGTCAATGAAGTGCCAAGGCTCAGGAATGACTGAACTTTCCCTCAAAAGCAGAACAGGTCCCCTTTTTAATAGAAACACGCAGCATTCTTGGCACAAGTATGGAGGAGCAAAGGAGAGGAAGACTCAAAAGATAATCTGAACCTTTTGCCAGGAGATAAGGTAGAGGCTGTGGGCTAAGTCATACCTAGTATACAACTACACAGTTTTCATGTCTGACTCCTACACATACTGTATGGGCAGGGAAGGCAGCAACAGGGTTTACTTTACTCATTGGATCTCCAAGAGCTTGCATAGTGCCTGCCTAAACTATATTTGCTAAATGAATACATAGTTGGAGATATGTCAGCAAAATAACCATAATACCAGTGTTACAACAGAATCTATATATGAACTGCTATGAGAATCGATGAGGCAGTGATTCAGTCTGTTTGTATGGAGGAGAAATCATAAGAAAATAAGGAGAAATTTACAATATTTTTTCAGTAAGTACTTCTGGATTTAATTAATCACCAGTAATATACATATTCTAGTTTAAAGTTCCCAGAAGAAACACAAAAAAGAAACACAACGAAGTATTCAATAGAAAATCAAGGTCAGAATTCCACTTTCCCAGTTCTGTTACACTAGATAGTGCGTGAAAAATTCTCACCTCTCAAATTCTCAAGGCATTATGTGCTTTTTATTTTAATATGTATCAAAAATGGTTTTAATAAATATGAAAGAGGGAAGCGGAGATTCAGTGGTAGAATTCTTGCCTTCCATGCAGGAGACCCAGGATGGATCCCCAGCCAAGGCACCACAATTGCAGCCACAACTCATCTGTCAGTGGAGGATTTTGTGTCGCTATGATGCTGAACAGGTTTCAGCGGAGCTTCCAGACTAAGACAAAGAAGAAAGTCCTTGAGATCTGCTTCTGAAGATCAGCCAGTGAAAACCCTTTAAATCACAATGGTCCGATTCCATTGTGTATTGGGGTCGCCATGAGTCAGGGCTGACTTTAAGGAAACTAACATCAACAAATATGAAAGGACACATTTTCCTAGGATCACCACAACTTACAGTTCAATATTTCCTAGTGTGCATTTCTCTGAAAACTAATCCAAGGAGATTGCCCTGTGAATAAAAGGGTTTCAATGTTATATCTGTGTAGCTGTAAACACTCCATCCCATTCTTGGAGATTCACGAAGCTTACTGGGAAATTTTCTAGATATGGAATCAAATAATTCATCAAAGTTCTATGTCCTTGTCCCTCCTGAAAGCAGCAGTAATTTAGGTTTCTCTCAAATATCTAATTTTAAAATTTTCTCCCAGTGGGAAAGTGTTTGACTAAATGCTATATAATTCTGTGTACGTGGTAAGAAAGATGAGTTGGCTTTAAATGTTCTGATGATTTAAGATATTCATAATATATTACTAAATGACAGAATTGGGTAGCAGAATGGTATGTATATCACAACTGATTTTGTGTAAAAAAAAAATGTATATATTCTTGCAAATAAATAGAAAAATCTAGAGGGGCACCAGGCAGGGTAAAATCAGGCCATTAAGAAGGCCACCAAAAGGGAAGAGGGTATGCTTTGGGAGAAGGAATACCTTATTTTGTACATTTCTATACTTTTACTTTTTTACATTAAGGTATTTTTTTTTTCTATAGTGTGATTAAATATGTTTTTTTTTTTTTGGTTTTTTTTTTTAAATCCCAAGAAGGAACTAACTAGAAGAGTGGTTATTTTTAGATAATAGCACTATGAGGGATATATATTTTTCCTCTATGTTTTTCATTTTTTCCAGTGAGAATTAAAATTTTTATTGTTTTATTATAAAAAAAAATGTTTAAGAACATTTCAAAAAATAAAAAGAAAAGAAAAGGATAAGGGAGAAAAATCACTCATAATTCTACCACTAAAACACAGATATTAATAACAACTTGACAACCTCTTTCCTTTCAACATTTTATTTTTCCTCTCATAGGGCTTTCTATTTTATATAATTATGATAATAGCTTCTAATTATAAAAATAGTCATGACCATAGAAAAATATTTAAATAATTCTGAAATGTATAGAGTGAAAAAGGAATATATATTTAAATGGGACTATATATACACATACGTATTTATTTTACATTTTGGAGAAAATATATATCCTAAAAAGCCATGTGGTATATACTTTCTATACTAAAAACGTGATCATATCTGTTCCAGCATATTTTGCCATAGAAAGAACAAAATTAAAGCACATACCTCCTTTTCCAACATCAAGCCTTCTGCTCTGAGGTTCTTTTCAAAGGTGTTTCTCCTGTCATATTGTATATTTGACTTTCTATAAACCAGGATGTAATCAATTCGCTTTTTGCCATCTTTGAATAGAAGACCACTGGATGCTATGTAATTCATGTCATTCTGCAAATAAAGCAATGGTTGTTAACAGTGTCGATTGGAAAGGCACACGTATTTTGGTTTCATTCATTCCATTTGAAAACTGGCAGACCAATTTCCAAAGATGTAGAAGCCCTATTGTGCGATATGGGAAGAGTATTAAAGTTTGCAGGAGACAAGTTAGCAGAATTTGAAATGTCCTAGAATTTGAAATTAGGCAGTCTGATTCCAGAACCTGGTCTCTATGATACTGGCATCAAAACAGGTATGTTTTATTCAATAAGGTCCTGTAAAAATAATATTAGCTACTATATATTGATTGTTTACTAAATATCTGGTCCAGGCATAACGGTTTTACATGTTTTATCTTATTTAATTCTCATAACTTATATTTCAAATGCAAATCCCTAAGGCTTAGAGAACATAAGTACTGAAAACTAAAACCCACATAATTTCCTATGTTAAATAATACTTGGACCAAGCATTACTTTCCTAAACCTAAGTTCAACACTACTGAAATCAAGCAATAATATCTCAGCTGCTTGCTCCAGAAATGCTTGCTCCTTGAAGGTAAGACTGTGAACCAACTAAAACAGCTTATTTATCAAGACAAGTAACTTGCTCATCAAGACCACTCTAAGACCTCTCCACTTTGTTGTGCCTAACATCCCAAAGCTACTTTGTCATAAAATCAGCTTGCTCAATTACCAACCAAACCCTTACCTTGCAAGACCCACTTTAAAAACCACTAAGCCCAGGCCCTAAAGCTCTAAGAAAACTCTTCCCTAAATTCACCATTTTGAAACACTACTTAGACTATAAAACCAGTTGAAATTGAGTTGATTTCAACTCATGGTGATGCCACAAGTTGCAGAGTAGAACTGTGCTCCACAGGGTTTTCATGGCTGTGACCTTTTGGAAGCAGATCACCAGGTTTTTCTTCTGAGGCATCTCTGGGTGGGTTCAAACCTCCAACATTTTGGTTAGTAGGCAAGTGGTCAACCATCTGAGCCACCCAGAGATCCATACTAAGATTACACACATGGTATATTCTCATTTGCTGTAAGTTTGACAAACTCTGTTTTGCTCATAAACCAATTTTCCTGATGGTCTTGTTGGTGACTGGGAGCTTTACCGGTATATAACCCCAGATCACCGAGGAGCCAGGCCTTGCATCAAACTGTGTCTCGGTCCATGCTCTTAGCTACTATCTTGTCCTTCTTTCTCTCGGAGTACACATTTTCTGTCAAGATATTTGGAGGTCTGTACTCACTCTCTATTCCATGTTGCCAATACAGGCATTCTTGAGACTGAAAAATTTCCTAAGTTTTGGAGACTTATAGGATAATTTTAGATAAAGTCATCCCACACTATTTTGGAAGACCCTTATTGGAACATACAACCAGCTCCAAGTAAAAGAGAGGAGGATCAGAGTAACCTGGACACTAAGGAGACAAAATTCAAGCATTCACCCAGGTGAAGCAACAGACAAGACGTATGAGAGATTTTCATCTTCCAGGGCAGGTTAGGTTGCATCAGGATCCTCAGGGAGGTTTTAGCTTTCTGGAGAAACAGGTTAAAATGTATGAATGCACAGTAGTAGAGACACCTGGGCTCAGGGACAGAAAGTCCTTGCACAGACTTTTCTTTAATGAAGGGACAAGTTTTGAGAATTCTAAGCTAATCTTCCCCCACATGTCTGTAAGTTTGTCATACTGTGGGGGCTTGCATGTTGCTGTGATGCTAGAAGCTATGCCGCCGGTGTTCAAATATCACAAGGGTCACCCATGGCAGACAGGTTTCAGCTGAGCTTCGAGACTAAGACAGACTAGGAAGAAGGACCTGGTGGTCTACTTCTTTAAAAGAATTAGCCAGTGAAAACCTTACGCATAGCAGTGGAACACTGTCTGATACAGTGCCAGAAGATGAGCTCCTCAGGTTGGAAGGCACTAAAAATACGACTGAGGAAGAGCTGCCTCATCAAAGTAGAGTTGACCTTAATGATGTGGATGGAGTCAAGCTTTCAGGACCTTCATTTGTTCATGTGGCATGACTCAAAATGAGAAGAAACAGCTGCAAACATCTATTGATAATCGAGATGTGCAATATACAAAGTATGAGCCTAATAAAATTGGAAATTGTAAAAAACGAAATGGAACACATAAAGATTGATATCCTAGGTGTTTGTGAGCTGAAATGGACTGGTATTGGCCATTTTGAATCAGACAATCATATGGTCTACTATGCTGGGAATGAAAACTTGAAGAGGAATGCAAAAGTTGGAAACGAAGAAGGATTGGTAGTTTGAAAATATGGTCTTGGTGATAGAAACAATGCTGGAGATCACATGACAGAATTTTGCAAGATCAACAATTTCTTCATTGCAAATATCTTTTGTCACCAACATAAACGGCAACTATACACGTGGACCTCGCCAGATGGAATACACAGGAATTAAATCAACTATATCTGTGGCAAGAGACAATGGAAAAGCTCAATATCATCAGTCAGAACAAGGACGGGGCCAACTGCAGAACAGACCAACTGCTCAAAGGCAAGTTCAAGATGAAGTGAAGACAATTAGAACAAGTCCACGAGAGCCAAAGTACAACCTTGAGTATATCCCACCTGAATTTAGAGACCATCTCAAGAATAGATTTGATGTATTGAACACTAATGACTGAAGACCAGACGAGCTCTGGAAGGACATCAAGGACATCATACATGAAGAAAGCAAGAGGTCATTAAAAAGACAGGAAAGAAAGAAAAGACCAAAATGGATGTCAGAAGAGACTCTGAAACTTGCTCTTGAACGTCGAGTAGCTAAAGTAGAAGGAAGAAATGATAAAAGCCGAACAAAAGATTTCAAAGGGCGGCTCGAGAAGATAAAGTAAAGTATTATAATGACATGTGCAAAGATCTGGAGATATAAAAACAAAAGGGAAGAACAAACTCGGCATTTCTCAAGCTGCTGAAAGAACTGAAGAAAATACTCAAGCTCCGAGTTGCAATAGTGAAGGATCCTATGGGGAAAATATTAAACTGCACAGGAAGCATCAAAAGAAGATGGAAGAAATACACAGTCACTGTACCAAAAAGAATTGGTTGATGTTCAACCATTTCAGGAGGTGGCATATGATCAAGAACCGATGGTACTGAAGGAAGAAGTCCAAGCTGCACTGAAGGCACTGGCACAAAACAAAGCTCCTGGAACTGACCGAATACCAACTGAGATGTTTCAACAAATGGATACAACGCTAGAAGTGCTCACTCGCCTATGCCAAAAAATTTGGAAGATAGCTACCTGGCCTGGAAGAGATCCATATTTATGCCTCTTCCAAAGAAAGGTGATCAAACAGAATGCAGAAATTATCTAACAATATCATTAATATGGCACACAAGTAAAATTTTGCTGAAAATCATTGAAAAGTGGCTGCAGCAGTATATCGACAGGGAACTGCCAGAAATTCAAGCCTGATTCAGAAGAAGACATGGAACCAGGGCTATCATAGCTAATGTCAGATGGATCCCGACTGAAAGCAGAGAATACCAGAAAGATGTTTACCTGTGTTTTATTGACTATGCAAACGTATCAGACTGTGTGGATCACAACAAGTTTTAGATGACATTGCAAAGAATGGGAATTTCAGAACACATAATTGTGGTCATGCAGAACCTATACATAGACCAAGAGACAGTTGTTCAAACAGAAGAAGGGGATAATGCATGGTTTAAAATCAGGAAAAGTGTGCATCATGGCTGTATCCTTTCACCATACTTATTCAATCTGTATGCTGAGCAAATAACCTGAGAAGCTGGACTACATGAAGAAGATTACAGCATCAGGATTGGAGGAAGACTCATTATAACCTTCGATATGCAGATGACACAACCTTCTTTGGGGAAAGCAAAGAAGACTTGAGTACTTACTGAAGAAGATCAAAGACTACAGCATTCAGTATGGATTACATCTTAGCATAAAGAAAACAAAAATCCTCATAACTGGACCAATAAGCAATATCATGATAAACGAGAAAATGTTGAAGTTGTCAAGGATTTCATTTTACTTGGATCCACAATCAACACTCATGGAAGCAGCAGTTAAGAAATCAAAGGACCTATTGCACTGGGCAAATCTGCTGCAAAAGATCTCTTTAAAGTGTTAAAAAGCAGAGATGTCACTTTGAGGACTAAGGTGCGCCTAACGCAAGCCATGGTATTTTCAATCCCCTCAGATGCATGTAAGAGCTGAATAATGAATAAGGAAGACTGAAGCAGAATTTATGCCTTTGAATTATGGTGTTGGTGAAGAATATTGAATATATCACGCACTGCCAAAAGAAGGAACAGATCTGTCTTTAAAGAAGTAAAGCCAGAACGCTCCTTAGAAGCAAGGGTGACAAGATTTCATCTCATGTACTTTGGACATGTTATCAGAAGGGACCAGTCCCTGGATAAGGACATCATGGTTGGTAAAGTAGAGGGTCAGCAAAAGAGAGGAAGACCCTCAACAATATGAACTGACACAGTGGCTGCAAGGATGGGCTCAAGCATGACAACAACTGTGAGGATGGTGCTGGACCGGGTGGTGTTTCGTTCTGCTGTACATAAGATTGCTATGAGCTGGAACTGACTTGACGGCACCTAACAGCAACAACAACCACCTAATTAATATCTACAGGCTTGTATATTCAACTACCTTCTTGATTCCAACTACCTTCTTGATTCCTTCACTTAGATGTCTAATGGCCATCTCAATGTTAACTATAGGAAATAAAATTTCTTATCTTCTCCAAACTGGCTCCTCCCACACCCTTCTTTATTCTTGCTGGTTGCAACTCTATCCTTCCAGTTGCTCAGATCAAAAAGCTGTAATCATCTTTGTTTCCTTTCTTTCTCACTCATTTAACATCCAAATCATCAGGAAAAAAATTTCAAAATATATTTAGAATCTGCCCACTTTCCAACATTTTTATTGCTACCACTCTTGGCTGAACCATAATCATCTCTTGACTGCATTATTG